TGCAGATTATGAAATACAGTTGACCAGAAAAAAAAACGAAACGTCCAATGCGCAAAAAATTCGAATGAATGAAAGTATAATAACAAAAGGTGACACTTGTTTATACTACGCACTAGGAGTCTCTTTGCTGTTGCTATCCTTGAGGCAACTTCGTGCCTTGAGTACTTAAGCAATAATATCGGGCATAGATCTATCTAGGCTATGTCGTATTTGATCTGCTGGGGCTTAACACGCATGGACTCCATACGTTGACACTGTAACTGTAAGGTAAAAATGGTAGCAATGTTCCGAAGGCAAAGAAGTTCCTTTTAAACTTGATCTAGATTAGGCTTAGGCTGACAAATTGCAATATTCAGGATGGATTTGCATGAGACGTGAGAGAAAAGCAATTAGCATAAATTACTAAGTATTACATAAGTAAATAAAACATACTGAACAAAGTTTAAAACATAACACTGTAACATGAACATATGTATGTAGGTGTACCTCTAACAACCCACTCGCTTATGAGCAACCAAATTCAAGGAACCACGTAATCAGATACTTATGCGGTTATTATTGATACAGAACACTTTATTCTTAACCTCAAGTGTGCATTACATACTTATAAATACTTTATATACATTTGTACAAGCTGACGTTGGTAGGTACTTACTTCATAAACTTATGGAATATACCTAGAAATATAATACTCCTAGAATGTAGAATTTATTATGGCTGGAAGATACACGTTATCATTAATAAATAACTATCGTGAGACAGAGGTACTAAATTAACCAAAAAAGGGTTTTGTGAGCTGTTACAGTGAGCTACGCGACGTCGCCTCGACCGCGCACGCTGCTCATGAGGAACAACCCCTCTGTGGTTCGAAACTAGTAGAGCTTTTCTCAGTATATTCACGTGAGTAACCCGCAGCTTTTTAGTAAATCATTAATAAAGTTACGGTATGATAATTTTAAATTAATTCTTTCAGTTCAAATGGCCTTTTCAGCACCATTTTCTGTTGGTTTCTTATGGAATTTGTGTAACAATCTAATAGAGATGAAATACATGTAAGATGCATATACAACAGATATTCTAAGAAGTAACAAGTATAACCAATTTTATAACAATCGACACAATTACTGAACTAACGATTTCTAGTCATTTTTTTACTTTGACTTTGGAAAACGTACAGGCAACCAACGTCAGGCCAATTTATACAGATAAGTGAAAATGGCAGACTCACTTTCAGAACGTCATAGTATCTTACAAATACATACCTAAGCAATCGTCGGATCTTGTTCATTTAATTAAAATTACGAAACAAGTCAAATCCAGTCACTTGTGTATTATGGAGGTTTATATTAAACCGATAGATATATTATTTGATATGATAGGTAAATTCTAAGAAATTCCACTTGGCCTTGTGAAGCAAGCGCACAGAGCGTGGTAATCTTTGCAATGTAATTACACATACGTACAACGTTATAAGCTGGTAGTTGTAGTAGGTATATCTTTTTTAATTTTCGTATTCGAGGGGGTACTCTCGTCGTAAATATTTTAGTTTGAATCCTCAAACCAAGAATATTTGCTTTGGTTCTTGTCTGCCGTATCTACCTATAAGATCTGTTATGCTATGCTAAAGTTACCAGTTGCAGCAACTGTCCTGTTACACGTTATTGTATTAACAAACGTCATGATTGAATTCTACGCATGCGCTTGCAATACTGCTCTAAATTCCCATGTTGAGGCTTCCTAGTGTATAGTTACCTACTTGCGTATAAAGTTTTGCACTCAATATTGGTACCTATCTATGCAAGTCCTTGTGTTATTCATGACGCGTTATATTAGTTCATCGGTATGTCCTGCCAGTAGCTACTTAGGTATACATTCTAGTAGGTAGTTGTTTACATTATTGTGCAGTTAATTGGCTCACAGAGTCAGACCATACACCGTATAAGGCAAGTTGCCGAGAATCTAGTCCCACAAGTCGACGTGCGGCACAACGGCGGCGACTGGCCAACCGCTTTCATCATGCCACGATTACTTATGTCAAGCATTATCCTTTTACAAGAAGTAGGTATTCACAATGTTGGCATGACGTGTATGAGAATAACTACGCATGCACTGACGACTTTGAAATAATTGTCAATAGCACTCTGCACTCTCATACTTCTAACATAATAAATTACCAGGCAGACAATCGAATGTTCGTTGTTACACTGCATTAACACTGTTATAATCTAATAATGCGATATGATTGTGTTTCATAATATACGGCGTTGGTTTACTTTTTGTTTCTCCCAAAAGAAAACAAGACCTCATGAACGCATTCCATAGTTCCCGGCCTCCCGACCCGCCCTCGCATTCCATCGAGATAGGTTTGAAGATGATTTCCATTTAGGGATCAAACCTCGACAAAAAATAGATTGATGTTATGAGAAAACCTCCTAACAGCCCTTCCTCCCCTTGGGTCTTGATTGCAGATTAATAAGTAGGTAGGTACCAAAAAACTGCATAGTTAATTGCCAATGTACAAAATTTCAAAGTCCTACCTACCTATCAATTACCTAGCCAATAATTATAAAATCTGTCAGTTCATTAAGAATCAACATTTAATTTTAGTAAAATTTTAGTAAAATTAAATGTTAGGTACCGAAATTGCATAAAACGACGTAGGTATAGGTACTAAGAGTTTTTGCTTTAATTTAAAACCATTTTTTAAGTTTTTGAAGTTCCTGAAGAATTTCACATGCCGTTTACTCAACAGGAAATTGGATGACGGGTGTGAGTGTGCAAAAGATACTTAGTAGATACAACATACAATTCTGTTTGACATACCCGCCTATTTGTAAATTTAACGGACGCCACTTCGTTACCGTTTTTGTTAGACAACCGTCAACTAGTTTTTGCTGCCCCAGCATGTGTACCTAGCTGAATCTCATGCCGAACACGTGGGACGAAGATATGTTTCCTAATTTGTAATAAGTAGATAAATATGTGAGTTCGCACGGTTTTGAAGAGGCTATTATTTTTTTATCGTTATCCAAGAAAAGTTACGTTAAAGGCGGCAAACGAGCAGGCGGATCACTAGATAATTGGCTTTCTGTTCCGCACATTTGTAATTCACAAGTGCGTTGCCGGTCTTTTCGTGAAGTGTGTTTGGGGCACCCATAGAATTATAACGCGTATCTAAGGGGGCACCCCAAAACCTTAACCTCACTGACACTGGATACGGGAAACATTGATTCACCTCTGCTTGTTACTTACTTCATTCCTATGAATTCCCATCCTTAATGGAAGCAATTTTGGAGTCATAAAATTTAAATTAAAATGGTGATTAATGTTTATTATTCACAATAAATATCATACGTAGCAAGACACTTCGCAGTTTGATAATTATAATTATCTTACTTTTAAGAAATTGCATCCTTCTGCCATCTATTAGCGAATAGAAGAACTATTTAAGCATTTCATATTACGTAATATAGATGGCGCTTTACTACATTACTGATACAATATTTTAGTTTTCTTTTAGTTTTTCGTTTATCCGGTTGTCTGTCCACCTTGTCGCTGTAAAATTAATAGCACAATATTGGTGTACTCCTTCAGAGTTGGTTAAAGTAGCACTTAATTACGACAAAATTGAAAGCTGTGTAACTTTCTCTCTCGAATTTAAGCATAAAGACGTGTTATATTTTATTATATTCAACACAAAATGAAAAACCAAAAATAATACAGTATTCTTTATTTATACAACATCCCAAACTTCCTCAAAAGCTGTACACAGTTTAGCACAAGTCAATGCCGCTGACAACGGATAATTACTAATTGATATAACATCTTCGGAATAGTCTACCTCTACTTTACCATGAGCCATGGCTCCGATAACCATTACAATTGGTTCATCTTTTGGTACTAATTCTCTACAGTTTTTCACAACTGTAGAACTAAAGGACATTGTCACTTTTCTGACACCAACAGGTAAATGTGATGTGACGGGATTTTTAATAACTTTTAGTAGCTTCATTGGACCATCGGATGCTCGTATTGCAAATTTATGTAGAAGTTGAACTGTAAAAAAGAAATAGCACTTATGTTTATTTATTTATTTATTACTTCTACACTAAAGATGACAGTGAATGGCGGACTTTTTAATGGTCAACTTTAAACTGTCAAACACCGTGAGGACATCAGTGACCGCAACTTATTGTTCTTTAATTGTGTCTTTAATGACGGTACTCAAAGAGATGGAATTGATATTATCAATAATTCTATCAGACATAAATATGTTAGTATCTTACCCATTAAACCCGCAAATCGTTTAAAGGTACGTGGTATTCTGGTTTGTGGGTTTATTTCAATGAGGACATTTTTTTCTGTGTGAATGTAAACTTGCAAGAGGCCAGCTCTGTTCAGTGGGGAATCCATCAACATTAGGAGCGATTGATGAGTTATATCTGGCCTGCATGACCCAGGGTCTCTGTCATTCTTCCTTAAAATGTTTGCGTGATCATCACAGTTCAGCAACTCAAAACTGTTGCCTGTCTGAAAATAAACACAACAACATTTAGCACGTGGGGTTTAAATATAAAGTTTTACCTGATATATGCATACAAATTATATTCACTGTACCTTTACTGTTTCAAGCTGAGCATTTTCCAAAATAACAATCAGACGTTTCTCTTGCTTTTTAATATGTGAAGTTACTAAATGTCTCGGTATTGGATCGAATTCAAATTCATCATCTTTAGTTCCAAGTTTCCTTTTTTTTCCCATTCTTGATAAATACTGTCACAGAAACAATAAGTACACTATTTAAGACGTAGGTACTACTGTTAAATACAGAATTTACAAAACACGATTCAATTCAAACGCACGTGTTTATAAATTGACATGAAAAGTGACAAGACACGATAAGCAAAACGTCAGACGTCGTTGAGCGCATTGCTAATGACATTATCTGTTTAATGTCAAATCGACATTCCCCGGGTATGTTGTTTCTAGACGAACTAAAGGAAACATTAAATACCGCTTAATTTACATGTAAATATGTTTAGAATACTTAATATTGCAATACTTTTGCTTGCTTTTAATGAAATATAATTAGAACAGAACGTTAACTTGTTTTTTTTTGTTTCGCGGGCGGTAGCCTCGTTGGTTTAGCCCAGCCATAGACTATAAGAAAAACTGGATTAACTTTCTGAACGTATATAGCGAATGAAATAAACAAAAACAACTGTCCGCTGTCAATATTCATTCAAGTTGTCGTAATGTCATATATAATCATTTCTCAAAAGTAAGCTTTCGAGTTTCGCCCTTTGCTGCATCCTTCCCTTTGTTACTATCAATAATATTTTTGGTGTTGTCTTCTACTAACTTTTCGACTTTGGCATAATCTTCCGGATAAATTTGTGCTTATTCATAATAAACAAACAGTATCTTCATGGCTAATGATCGAGAGGTTCTTCGTGAAATATGGGACGGAAAGTTGCCGATTTGTTTTCAATTAGCGCAAGAAGAAATTATGGAAATACAACAACCCGATGCGTTTTATGTTATGGTACCAAGATTGAGCTACTTTCCACTTGTAACAGATAAGGTGGGTTACTTACTATTTCCGTATAGATGCTTACATACATACATATACAATAACTATGGTACATACCGATTTTCAAATACTTATTTATTATTGGTATTTTCAGATGAAAAGACACTTCTTGCGTTACATCTCTCAAGAAAACTCTGATAGTGAAATGTGGTTGGATTATAATGGTCAGCCTCTCAAATGGCATTACCCAATAGGTTTTCTTTATGATCTCTATTGTGGTAATGACCCTCAACTACCATGGCATCTAACTGTGCACTTCACAAAGTTCCCAGAAGATGTCCTACTTCATTGTATAAACAAGTAATAATGACATTATTAATTTATCATATTTATTGACACTAAATCTAAAAACTCACTGCTGCATACAAATATTTCTTCATATTTCTATAACTTGAATAATTATAATTTCAGGGATGTTGTAGAAGCACATTTTATGTCAACTGTGAAAGAGGCTGATGTTCTGAAACACAGAGGGCAAGTCATGTCCACGATGCAGAAGAAAGACCATAATCAATTATGGCTAGGTTTACAAAATGGTAAGAATTATTATATTACAATGTTTTATTAGTCCATACCTATTATTGTACAAACAACTCATATCAAGGGAAAATGAAATGTATATACATACAATACAAGTACCACAATTTGATTTAGTATGAATCACGCTGTTATATCAATATCACAATATTCTGCAGCATTTTCATAGTTACTAGCCATTAACCAGAGTGAAAAACAGTGGCGTGCACAGGTTTTCTAGACAGGGTAGGCAATTAAATATCGTATGATTAAACCCCTCCCCCCCGGTCATACAATGACAATCATACTCACACAAGACAGGTACCTACATGTACAGAATACATTTTGAAAAGTGCGTTCAAGAATATTGTGGTTTATTCTGTCGCCAAATTACATACACTGACATCTCGCGTATTTTTTGTGAACTACTTCATCAGCTATGGAATAAGCCAACAAAACTTACAAATAATTGAACATCTATTAATTATACTAATAATGAAGCATAAATTTGATGAACCAAATTCAATTATCGAATTGCTAGATAATCTATTCAAAATCATAATAATATTATATTATATTATATTACGAATTTAAGAACGTAGGTACCTACCAACAAACAAAACAATAACAAGCGCGGCCGGCTGTGGCCGAGCCGAGTATTTATAAGCGGTACATTTGTTATTACATTACATAATTATTAATAATAAATTAATATGTAAATCAGTACAACCCGAAGTCTAAGTTGATATTTTTAAGAATTATCAAACAAGAAAATCAATAAAAGATCCATTAAAGTACATAATATTTACATTACCTACCTTTGACTTGGGTCAATTCTCGTAACTTGAGTACTGCCTATGGTCATTACCTGAATCTAGTCGTTGTAGGACACATTTTTGCGAAAACTTACTGTTTTTAACTTTCAACAAACACAAAAAATTATCTATTATCAACACAAACTTCACAATCGAATAATATAGGTACTTGTACTAGACACTGATAAACAAATACACTATTTGAAAAACCTACACATACATTTAACTACTTCTACACATATTTATGCAACTTTATGTTTAAAACTAATTCCTTATAATTTAAACGAAAACATAAACAAAGCGATCGCACATCACATGAAAACAATATGGCCGAAAACATTGGAATGAATGAACCCATCGTAGTCAATTGAGTGTTTATTATAAAAAAATTATAGCTATAACATTAAGGCAACCCAGTGTTTAATTATAAAAAAACAAAACGTTAATTTACATAAGTCAAATGGAGTTCCGTCATTGTCTTATTATTATTTTCCAATAAGAAACATTCGTTGATAACAATTTGAAACTTTGAGTTATCAAAACGTCAAGTTGCCGCTACTCAAAAGTTATTCCTTTTTACTTTTAAAATAATAAAGTCAACTCCTCGTTTAAAGTTTCTGTAAACCGACAACGCGTAAAAATGTTAAGATTTAATTAAAATACCTGAAACATATTTTTTTAGTATGCATAATTATAAAAAGACATTCGCATTATATCGAACGTGTTCAGAAGTTTTAACAAAAAATTCAATAGATGGCGCAGATTCATAAATTTCAAAGGCCGGCAGCAATGACTTTTTTGCGTTTATGAATGGTTATTCTCTGCTGTGACCATAGTCACGTGACCTTCACGCATGCGCGTTGCATACTTTTTGTGACGTCACAACCAACAACCAAGATTTAAGGAATAGTAGCGCATGCGTGGTGCGTGCGGGGCGCATTCATTGCTTTACAAAGGCGTGCGGTCCGTGTATAGTATATGTGAATGTATATTTATGTTAGCCGTTTTTTTACAAACTTTTATTTTATTATTGAATCTTAATAAACGCGTTTGTACATTTTATGTCAAGCAAAGCCTTTTTGCCTATATGGACTGCACGCCACTGGTGAAAAATTATAACATCACTTACTTTTAATAGCCAGTCCATGTTTTTAACACCTTGAAAGCCATGAGGGACAACATATGGGCCACGTTAGCGGAGGATTTACCTTCAAGTTTTCTGTCGGCAGTCAAAGCCTTAATAGGTTCAAGGTACCTACTTTAAAACGGTGCTGTTTTATTGCAGATAAATTCGATCAATTTTGGGCCATAAATAGAAGACTGATGGAATCCCACGGAGACAGTGAGGGTTTCAAACACATTCCTATTAAATTGTACTCAGATGATGGAACATGCAGTCAGCGCCTAGTTAGTCCTAAGAACAATGATGGCAGTAGGAAAACATTGCAACAGATGATTGCAGAGTTGTATCCAGATAAACTTGATGGTATGTAATAAATACTCTATTTAAATATATACCATTGAATAAATTATTTATTTATAATGTCAATCTTACATTCACTTTTCTATTTTTAATGTTGCCCCATTAGGGATTAGGGTTTTCTCGTATATATGTAGTGGGTACATACAAGTTTACATACACATAAGATATAAACTTTATACTATACAACATGCTTTATTAAACACTAGCGACCCGCCCCGGCTTCGCACGGGTGCAATATGTATATACATACAAACCTTCCTTAAGAATCACTCTATCTATTAAAAAAAACCGCATCAAAATCCGTTGTGTAGTTTTAAAGATCTAAGCATACATACGGACATACAGCGAAAGCGACTTTGTTTTATACTATGTATTGATGATTTTCATTTTCTTTTTCAGTACAACTAAGAACACATGGGATAGTAATTCCACCTGACACACCTCTACAATGGCTTTCTGAACATTTGAGTTACCCAGATAACTTCCTCCATATGTGTGTCTTTTAAAAACTAAATTATATGCTTTATTTCCTAAGCCATAAGATAAATTGTGATGCAATTAAATCAAAGACATGGTAGTAATGAATGGTTTTATTGCCAAATAGTCACTTTTAGTGAATATAATTCAACATTTACAGAGAGAGAACAGTCCTTACACAATACACCTTGCAAATAAACTTTATCTAACTTAATTTTTTATTTACATCATTGTTAGTTTATTAATACGATATTCAGGTTAACATCAAGACTCCCAAGAGTATAGCAACTTCATTGTTAACAAAATAAATAATAGTACATGATCTTTTCTCTTTATCTAAATAAAACATTGTCAACAAATAGAGTTTGTATCATTATAAACAGGTGTGATGTTTTGTAGAACTTAACAAACCAAATGCTCTTAAAAGTGCTTCTGTATTATTATTCTCATTTTATGAAATACAACTATTTTGTACAAAAAGGTTTAAAGCTAAATAAATTAACAAATATCAGTTGAAAATATCACAAGGTTACCTTTGTTGTTAAAGTTGTTTATAACTCTGTCTTCTGTTTATTCTTCTGTATTACATAAGGAATGTGTCTTGTAAACCGCTTGCACCCATTATTTGCAAATATTGGCTGATCTTCATTAGGGCCATATGTTATAACTGATAAAGCTTCCCTGTAATAGATGTGTAAAGATTTAAATTTTAAACTATTTTAATAAGCACTGAAGTGTACATAAATAAATAATGTATTTAATTTAAATTATGTTGTTTGACTTTGAAAACTATCTAATTAGTGTAAAGTTTACTAGCTGTAACTAGTAAATTAGCTGTTTAGGGTAAATATCTTTGGAGAATACAGAGATTCTAATGGTATATACCCTTATATATATCCATTTAATATTTTAGGTTACCTGGCAGATTTAAGAAAAAATGTGTTATGTATAATTAAAAATAATTCATAACTTACGCCATCATTTCCTTTGTTGGGTGATATATGGCATGAGATCTAAACTCGGCTAGAGCACACATTTCCACATGTTGCTGCTCCAGTGGTAAAAATGGCACATAATGGTCTATTAAGTGATTTGCTATAGCAGCAGCCTTCTCAAACCCACCTGGCACAAAAAATTTCAATTAATAAGAAAATAATAATTTTTTGCATTAAACTTAAAGAAAATATTATTTTTCAATAACCTTGGAAATATGCTGTCCTTCTTATAATTGGCTCAAAGTCATGAAATTCAACATCATTCCGCTTCACACCTTGATCATAGAGTTCCAACAACTTTGTAGCTATTTCGTGACCTCCAATATTTGATATGAATATAAATATACTATCTCTGAAAAGGAAAACAAAAATCATGGGAATAGAGCCAACCTTGAAAGGTTTTGTTTCTTTCACTTGACTCAATAAGGGTTCATCCATAAATTACGTCACACGAATTTCATGATTTTTGCCCCTTCCCCAGTCCTTGTCACAGCTAATCACATTTGTGAGACCCCCCTCCCCAGTGTGACGTCATTTTTGCTGAATTACGTATGTAATAAAATTATTGAATGAAATATACGCTTCTAACCGGCTGCTACGCAATGTGTCGCGGGTTCGATTCCCGCACGGAACAACTCTTTGTGTGATCCACAGGTTGTTGTTCCGGGTCTGGGTGTCATGTGCATGTGAACTTGTATGTTTGTAAACGCACCCACGACACAGGAGAGAATCCTAGTGTGGGGCAAAAAAAAATTAATACCAAATCAAACAAAATAAAAAATATTATACAATTATATTTCGTGTTTTCTAACAGTTTTTGAAATGTGACATCACAAAGTTTAGGATCCCTCCCTCCCTCCCCCTTGTCACACAATATCACACTTCGTCGACCTCCTCCCTACCCCTTAATGTGTGACGTTATTTAAGGATGGCCCCTAGAAAAGATTATTATTAATACTTAACTTACCTATAATCAATGCCATCTACAGCATGATGATGATCAAGCATTGGTTTAATTGTATCCAATACTGAAGGACACATATCATGAATCTCATCAAATATAATTAGTGACTTTGGACATTTTTTTACAATACTATTTAAAGTAGCTACCAAATCTTCCTGAAATAAAATAAACACTTTCTTTTATAAGATTTTATGATTATGTTCAACATTGACTTAAACTGCAGATAACTTTTTTTGTTGTTATATTAGAGATGAGTGTGAGACTCTTACTGACTAAAATCCACCCCATTCCTTCGTCTGCACGTCGAGCCATTAGGTTCTCCGTGAAAACTAGCAAATGTTAAAATGTGCCTTATATGTAGGTACTTATATTTTTATAAGTTCATACTTACTTTTTTCTGCTGCAAATTAGAGCAGTCAAAATCTTTCTTCCCCATATATAGCTTGACATATTTACTGTGCATACCTTTAGCATAAAGTGCCTCAGCTATCATAGTAGCTGCATAATTTTTACCTACACCAGGCCATCCATGAAGGCTTATCACTAGAGCCTTTTTGTTGCTTTTGTTTGGATCATTTACAGCCTCCTTATGTGCATGTAATATATTTACCAACTCATCAACTAAAGGTTGTCCAAACATTTTTTGTGATAAAGTTAATTTCAACTCTGTAAAGTAGACCTCAATATTAATGTGTTGTGAGAACTCTTATCATCTGTATAGTTGGAATTTTTAATTTCTTATTGAAAAATAATAACTATATGTACTCACTATTAATATCGAAAGGCACATGCTGATCATTGCAACATTCCACATACCGACAATACGTATTATCTTTTATCGTATTCCATTTGTACCAGCTAGCTATAGCAGAGGCACCGAGTATAGACATGGTTATAAATTCCGAAAAACAACATTGTAATAAAGTTAACAATATTGAAAACAATAAAATGTTATTTCTAATTAGCATTTTGTTACAGAATCTGACAGGCGGGAATATTGTAGACGAATGTTTAATTATACGATTTACACGAGCAATCAGCACTTAAAATTAGATGGTTTGATAAACTTCATTTTACTTATTTCTTTATGTTCGTTACAAAGTAGCCAAATTGGTTTATTACTTCTACAAACAAATTAAAAATGATGTTCTAAGTTTACAAAGAGAGCTATATGACATTTGAAATCAACAAACGTGACATTTACGACATTTGATTTGATTGACACTTGACAGACGTTATAACCATAGAGCCAAGAAAAAAGGCATGAAAAAAAACGAAAACAATTAGCAATTACTGACAATCGACATCGACAATAAGTCAATGTCATACCAAAGAGTATAATAAGTATATGGGTTGTCATACTAAAAACAGATGTCGTTTTGATTGTTTGGTTTGGTGTGGTTGGCTTGCTACAACAATCAATTTATTATTTGCTTTCTTATTTAACTCGTCGAGTACCGGTTTTGTAGACACAATTATAGAACAATAGGTTGCGGTCACCGGTGACCGCTTGGTGTTTGACAGTTTAACAACAAAATATCTTCAAATTTTATATAAGATAAAATATGTTGCAACGTCAACTTAATTAATACATTTTACAGAATGACATCAATCAAATATAAAGTTGAATCAGGAGTTCAACTGTTAGCAAGGTTGACTAAGAAGCCAGTCATTAAAAACTTTTATTGCAATTTATTCCAGCCCGGACTGAAACAGGATGATGTTGTCGAAATAATTGGTGAAGAAATCTCTTCAAGTTTATTGATCGATTTAATTGCAGAAGCTTTATTACCCAGCAAGATTAGTGTAGAGTCCATTGGTGTATTAGTTTTCAACACCATTGGAAAACTTAACTATGAAGAACTTATCAAAACATTGAAAAAACGTTTAACTACTTCAAATATTGATTGTGTTAAAGTGAATGATGTCCTTCATAGCACTCTCAGTAACTTGTTCATATTAGACATTTATGATGCAACACAGTTGTATACAACTATTCATAACTTAGACAATATATTGTCAAACCATAATAATATATCATTACTAATATTTGATACTTTGACGGCATTCTACTGGTCAGAGCAAGGACATAAAATAACAAAAATGGATTTGTACATAAAAAATTTACTCAAAATGATACAAAAAGTTACAAAAGAACATAAAGTAATATTAATTTATACTAAACCCAGACATTTCAATTCAAACAAAGATTCTGGCAATCCAACTGATATTCAAATCACTGAGAGAATAAATTATAAAGTACAATTAATAGAAAGTAGTTCCAGGACACATAATTTAGTTATAAAAACAAATGACTTATGTTACACAAAATACATAAACATAGAAGACAATCAAATAAATTGGCTTTGAATTATCATAAAATATGTTTTATTTTCACTATATCTTATATTATTTTAAATAACTATTTTGATCTCAAATCTAGCATCTATGTTTAATAAATTATAAATCAGTGACCCTACTTGTACTTTATCTAAGTGATGTAAAAAGTTAATAAAAATTGCATATAGCTACTATATCAAAATTGTGCTAATGCTAGAGAAATGCAAGCATCAAATTGTTTAATACTATTTTATTCTATATTGTTTTGAAGTATCATAACTTAAGGGTCATGAAGTAGAAACTGTTTCATAAAGTAGAAACTATGATATAAACTTTTATGTCTGATTTTGTCAGCACAATAAATACTTACATAAAATCTAATAATTGGTAATATTAATTACGAGCTTTAAAGATCATAGATCTATTTAAAAGAAATCTTAATATAGTGGAATTTCAAATTTTTATATAAAAAATGTATAATACTGCAAGAGATCATAAGAAGAGATTCAGAAGATGCTTATTTTCTATGCTTTGTTATTTAACTATTAAGAAACTTACTTAAATTAGTATATAGACAACATACAAAAACCCTGCAAGAATATGACTGAAATAATCAAGGTTTTCCCATTTACTAATTGTGTGAAAATATGAATAACCTGATTCTTGTACAGAAAATGATGCTTCAAACATCACTCCTAAATAAGCGAGGTGTATAATAGTTATTACAGAAAATATTGTGTTAGTGATTATTGCAATCATACTGTTCTTCTTGTGTTTGTGATCACATAGTTTAACACATGGATTTGCTAAGCAACAGACCTCAAATGTTTGTGCTACCTTAAGACGTAAATTATACTCAACATATGAGAATGTCCCTATACTAAGAAGGACAGCAGAAAATTGGAAATTCCATCCATGAAGCAATGATGATATAGCATATGTAATGAATATGGCAACAAATTTACCATATGGTTGACAAGTTTTAAAAACATATTGCTTCAACCATTGGTGCATGGGAATATTCCAATAAATTACCACTTGGACTAGTGACCTTGGCAATTCAATGAAGAATGGTTTAGTAACTTGAACTTCAGAGCGACAGTCATTTGTAAGTCCAAATCCAGCACTTGTCATTGAGAGCATAGACATCCTAGATATAAAATAATGAGACATTCTAAAAGCTTGTGCATCTCTATAAGCTATTAGCCACTTTGGTAATGAATCATCAATATACCATGGTACTATACAATTGGATAAAGTCAAGAAAAATATAGACACAACAAGATCAACAGCAATTAACTTAATCCATCTTTTGTTGAGGAATTTAACTTCAAGGTAGTTATTGTAATGGTGGAATGATATCCATGGACCAATAACAGAATTAGCTGGACACAGTAAATACCCTCCAAATTCCACAGGGTTTAGCATTTTTTTAAATAAATCTCTGTCTAACTCTATTGCTACAGAAATTATCTTCATAGCTGCTATCATCTGGATGCCTCTTATTTGTTGCCATAGTTTTGGATGGAGTATATGAACTTCACAAAGTAACAAGAATGAAATAACAAACATGGACACCACTAGTCCTCTCCATTTTTTAGTAACAAATGATAGTAAAATTATGAGAATATAAGCACTAGCTGTAAGTCCAACAGTCCAGATAAATGGAGGACCTATACAGTGATATAAAAGGAAACTGCCAATAACTAAACTTAAACTGTGGCGAAGGTTGTGAGGTAGCGGTATATACTGGATCATGAGACGAAGAGCAACATTAGCGAAAAGTAAATCCCTAACGAATCGGAAACCTTCATATACAGTTGGTTCCACACACAATAGCATATAGGTCCAAGCATTTTCATTGTATTCTTCTTCTTCATTCATGTTTTATTAATGCAACCACGCCGGCTTCTTTGTTTCGTCGTACTGATTTCCTATTCCATTAAAATATTTTTCACATCAAATAGTTCATTCCTTTTATACTTGTTTTCGTTCTTTACAAGAAACGGCGATTAATTTGATGTCTCATTTACGAATTTCAATTTCGCAATATGTATTTTACAGTCACATATTTACAATTTTCAGTTTTCTTCGGTGTGGGTACCGTGGTAATCAGCCTTTCTATTGACATTTTTGTCTTGTCTGTCAAGTAATTTGACATCAAGATGAAAATCTTCAAAGATAACTGCATAGATTATAATTCTCTATCTACGCCTGATGTCTATGGTCTTTTACGATACATGGGTCATAGAGCATGGGTCATGTTGCTTTATGGTTCGTGTTTGCGTTACTAAGTAAAGTCAATGGACGTAATAATACGTCCATGATAAAGTCAGAGTTATTATTAATCTGAATCAAAGAGAAATATAATAAGTATAGGGGAAAATCTGAATGAAGCATTATGGCACAAACAAAACATACTTACAAACGGGTGCCGCTGTTATATTTTGCTATAAATAACTTTAGTAGACCTGGGAATTGGGAGACCCATGCATAAAAAAAGGGGAGTCCCATTGAAAGGGACGGCAAACAAAACCTTTTCAGCACTTCCAGCTTATGTCCTAATTGATTCTTCAAGCGTTTCTAGTCGTTATTTTAGTTCTTTGTTCATGATCCATGACGTTAACTTGACATAATATCTTGTTGCCAGTAAAAATATTGAATAACAAAAAATATCCAAATTTTCTATATTTATAATTTTGAATTTTTTTGTTAATTAATTACATAAATTTTTTATTCTAATTCTTGATAAACTTAGGAAAAATATACAACTCTGTTTTGCACTAAGAAAAGTGTATAATTATTAGACACTTTAGACAGAGTTGATTATATATAATGGCAACATTATTCTAAAGTTGCATTGATTGGTATTGGGATGTTGTATTATTTTATTTAACTGTTTAACATAGAAATTTCTCGTCATCAATGCTTTTATAACAAACGTGAGACTGCTAAATACCCAGCACTTAATAAAGTACGGATTTGTGTGTTGAAGTGACGTGAAGTTCCATAAACATTCGCTACGTCTCTGAACCGTGTTAGCGTGCGTAACTGTTTAGTATTAAATCCGTTTGATATGTGCAATCAGTGACTTTTGTTTTGAAGAGATGGCTAGCCCGTCACCTCAGAGCAGTCCGATGCCGCCACCGCAGGCACCGAGCCCAATGGGGCCCCCCACTCAGAGTCCGGCTCCGCCACAGTCCCCGCATAGCCCCTACAACCAACAACATGTCAACGGGCCGCCTCCGTCTCACCCTCCTGGTGCCGGACAGCCGCCGATGCCTAATCATATGTCTCCATCAGGGCCAGGGCATCCTATAGCATCAAATTCTAATGGGCCTCCTGGTGTACCACAGCAGCATTCCGGAATGCCACCAACTGGACATCAGATGCCTCCGCACATGGTTGGACCTCATATGCCAGGCCCACCAGGACATCCAATAGGTCCTGGAGGTGCCCACCCACCTGGACCCAATGGCCACCCTGGTGCCCCACAGCATCCGATCATGCCTGGACAGGGTCCACCTCATGGATACATGCAACATCAAATTGGCCATATGCCACCTGGACAGGTAAATATTGTTTGTTATTTTAATGAACCTATTAGTTGTAGTTGATTGCTATTATATATGCATTTGTATTGAATACTTAAAATACAAACATTCGAGCAAAACAAATGTTTATATTCTATTTTTGTATTTCACATGAGAATAGTTTATGTGAACTTTGTGACATTTAATGAAATTAAAAAACAATTTAAAAGTAAATGTTATAATGTTATAGTGCATATAATGTTTATAAGCATTACAATAACATGTAAGCAATGTCTATTTTGATTACCAAATAGTGGACTGTAAATGGTATTTCCAAGTAGTAAAATCTCTTTTATCATAGTTGAAAACCGATCAGTCATTGGCTGTATATCTTCAGGACTAGCGTAAATATATTCCATATTGTTCATATATATGGTGTAGACAATAGGTGTGTTCAATTTCTTCTTTACCCAATCAGCTACATTACCAGTGTAATTATCTACATGAAGATAAATTAATAACTCTTTAATTACTAACATGTCATTAGTGAAAAAAATAGGAATAAGTATACTTTATTATATACTAGCTTTTACCCGTGGCTTCGCTCGCGTCACAAAAGGATAAAAGGTAGCTTATATGACATATACCAATACATACAGCGCCATCTATACCAATAATTTCGTTTTCCCTCGAGAATATCAAATTTTTCCAGGGTAAAAAGTACCCTATTATTTAATCCAGACTTTTAACTTTACATCTGCAAAAATTCAGGTTTAATAGTTACGGCGTGAAAGCGGAACAAACAAACAAATAAACAAACTCACTTTCCGATTTATAATATTAGTAAGGATATTGATTATACATACAGAAATAGGAAGAAGTAGCACCATAGAAAAAAGATTTACCATACTCCTCTTTTACTTTTTCATGCACAGAAGTTATAATTTCCATCTGCAAAATTAATGTACTTTATAATGAATATGAAATCAACCAATTTTACTTAGATTACCTTAATAAGAGAATACCAAACAATATGGTTACCAAAATAGGGTAATTATTAGCTTGGTCAGTCGTGTACCCATAGGGTATTGTCACAAGATCATCGAAAGATCTGAGATTGATGAACGCCAACAATTGAAGAGAATGGTTATTTAAAAAGTTTGCTAAGCTCATAGTTTCTTCTTCTGACAAAGATTTGGAACCTGAGAACACTGGATCACATTCTTCATTTCTTACTGAAAATATAATACAATGGTAGTGTTATAATTAGTTACACATGAACTCAACATCAACTACGTAGCAGGGCATGAATCAGAGCTAATTTTCTTTTTAAGTTTTGCTTACATGTTTCTTTGCTAAAAAACCAATTTCTGTCCAAATTAATACCAATGCCTGATACATTTGTGCTACACCTTTTCTTGGGAAAATAAATTTTTCTATTTCTCGCCCAAACAAAGTCCTGGAAAATGATGTAATTGTTGACATATTATTTTAAATGAAGTACTAAAAATGACATTAATTTTAATACTTAATTACTTTCATGCTGTAATCATGACCATCAGGATTAAGCATTGGTAGAATATAGAAATCATGATGTTTTATCAGCATATCTACATTAAGTCTATGCTGCAATATGTAGTCAATAAAATTCAAAAGTATTGCAGGAGACACCCTGTCTCTGCCATCTTCACCTCCCAAAACAAATACAGCAGATTTTTTATGTCCGCTTGATAATTTTAATACTATTATTTCTTTTTTCTCATAAGTTTCACCTATTTTGATTTTTGTTAATTTTGGAAAATGTTTGATTTTAGAATCAATCCAAAACTGGATTGCATCCCAATAATAAAATGCATTTGTTATATTTGGAGTATGTGTTCCATCCCAATGGTTTTCAATACAAAGAATGTCTTTACTTTTCGCCCTGTAAAATATAATATGTAAGGGAACACATATTTTAAATCTATTTTGAGTTTGACATCAACACATAACAATACACTAATCTTACAAGAACTTTTCATTAATTTTAACAAATTCTATGTCATCATCTCTCAATTTTTCTTCAAAAAAATTTGTGCAACATTTATCCACAATGACATCTATAGGTACAGCAGCCTCATTAGTGATTCCATTTAGAAACACAAGTTCTTCATTTTTTACATAAAGATAATACAATAAGGCCCTTTCTCGAGCATTAAAAGCTGTCACTTCATAAATTGCATAGTTTTCAAATCTCTCTCTTGGTTTTGTTATTAGAGCTAATTCTTGTTGAATTAATAAAAAGTAAAAATAGAAATTTAGAAAATGCAACATTTTCAATTGAACTTACTTAATGCAAATTTTTACTCATAAAAGCTATTATTCAGTAAGGCCATGCTGTGTGATATTAAGATGGGTTTTCAAAGTAGATGACTAAAATAAATGTATAATGCTACAATTTAACTTCTATTTAATGAGTTCATTAGATTGCCTAAAATAAAAAAAACACAATTTCTACAAATAAAAATCATTGTTATGCTAAGTTAACAACAAATTATAATGTTGTCGTAGGCACCTATGCCAATGGGTGGAGGACCACCACCTGGTAATGGGCCGCAGGGTCCGCCTGGAGCTCCAGGGGTGCCTCTACCTCTATCGGGCCCACCATCGCACGGAGTACACCCGCAGGGGATGCCGCCTGCCGCTCCTGGCCACATGTCTTCGCACCATCCGATGATGCCAGGGCAAGGCCCTCCACCGCATGCTGCTTCCCCTGGATATGGCCACGTTCCTCCTTCCGGGGCTGCAGGAGGCCCGGCGGCGTCGCCTTCAGGGGCACCTCCTACTGCTCCGTCTCAGGGCGGTGCTCCTCCACATCCGCCGGCTGCACAGACACCTCCGCACGGACAGCCACCACCGACATCCTCGGCGAACGGCCCCCCACCTGCGTCATCTCCAATGCAGGGCTCACTACCGGCACCCGGTCCTGATAACCTGCACGCCATTCAACGAACGATTGATTCTATGGAAGAGAAAGGACTACAAGAGGACCCAAGATTCTCGCAGTTGTTAGCACTGAGAGCACGCTCAAATCCTGGTCAGGACCCCAGCAAGGGTTTGTTTAGCAACAATCAGCTCTGCCAGCTTAAGTAAGCCTTATTTCAAGAATTAGTTGAATCTAAATACTATTGATAAATATTTTGTATGTGTGATTTTTATCGTTAACTGTGATTATTATAGGGCTCAAATAACAGCATACCGAAGCCTCGCGAGAAATCAGCCACTGTCACAGCAGATAGCTATGATGGCATCCGGCAAGCGCACTGGAGAGACACCCCCAGAGTGCCCTACTCCTCCAGCTCAGCCCCCGTACGGCGAAGGGCAGGGCGCGCCACCTAGTTCCGCGGCGGGGCTAGGTGGACTCAGCGCCACCGGGGGCAAGGCGGGGGCCGGCGGCGCGGCCGGAGACGCAGCCCGCGGCGGCGGCGGTGCTCCTCCCACTCCGCTCCCGATGACAGGCCAGATGGCACCTCCAACGCAACTTACTCCACCTCTAGTAAATCCTGTAAGTTATTTCATATATTATTAAAATGATACAATATGATACATTTGATCTTTTTACAATTTTATTTACTTTTAGCCCGTAAGTGGAGGACCACCTTTGCGTGGACCCGCACCATTGCGTCCGCAAGCTCCGGGCACGCAGCCTCAACATCAGGTAATTTTGTTTCATAATCCAGTCTTAAATAAACAAAATTGTTTTTATTTTATATTTTCAACCAATCTAACATAATTTTTATCTATATCAGCCAGGGGTTCCAATACCAGGAACCAAGCAGAATCGTATCACCAGTATGCCCAAACCTGTGGGAATTGATCCTCTACAGATCTTGAATGAAAGAGAAAATAGGTAAGTTTAAAAGTACATCATAATGTATACAATGAATAAATGAAATGGAGATTAACTGTGTATTAACTATAGGATTGCAGCGCGCATCGCCCATCGCATCGAATTGCTCTCCAATCTGCCAGCCAACATGCCAGATGACCTCCGACTGCAAGCACAAATTGAGCTCAGGGCTCTTCGAGTGCTCAACTTCCAGAAACAATTACGTTCTGAGGTAAATATTGAACGGTCAAGAATTTTCCGGTGTAACTCTATAAAACACCCAGGATAGCGATAGTTAAATAACATGTCTAAATCATAATGTTTTAAACAGATTCTGGGTCAAGTCCGCCGCGACACGACATTAGAAACAGCCGTGAACATCAAAGCGTACAAGCGTACGAAGCGACAAGGGTTGAGAGAAGCTCGCGCTACAGAAAAGTTGGAGAAACAACAGAAACTGGAGGCAGAGCGGAAGCGCCGACAGAAACACCAAGAGTTCTTGCAGACTGTGTTGCAACACGGTTAGTCTATAATATGATACGTCTATGCTGTCTATTTAGAAATAAAAATATTCCAATTATAATAAAACATACTACACAATTTTTAGATTAAGTATTGATAAGAATTTGTAATATTGCAGCTAAGGACTTCAAGGAGTACCATCGCAATAACATGGCGAAGCTGTCACGTATGAACAAGGCTATCATGAACCATCACGCTAACGCCGAGCGGGAACAGAAGAAGGAACAAGAGCGCATTGAGAAAGAGCGTATGAGACGGTAAGTTTTTAACATGAATGTTTAAAAGAATTTACGATGAAGTAAAATTGCTCAGACTCATGCTCATCATATTTTATTTTAGTTTGATGGCGGAAGATGAAGAAGGGTATCGTAAACTTATTGATCAAAAGAAAGACAAGCGGTTGGCGTTCCTTCTGTCGCAGACCGACGAATACATCGCCAGTCTCACGGAGATGGTCAAGCAACATAAGCAGGAACAACGTAAAAAGCAGCAGGAAGAAGAGCGCAGGAAAAGGGTTAGAGAATATATATTTTACTTTATCTTTACCACATAACATTTGTTTGACTGATACTGGAAAGCTTTATACTTATACTATTTTAATAATTTATGCAGAAATCGAGAAAGAAGAAGTTGTTGGAAGGCGGCGAGATCGATGCATTGGATGACAGCTCGCAAACATCAGATTCGCGCGTTAACGTTATGGATCCTAAGACTGGCGAAGTAAGACCAGCTTCATCTTATTACTATTCGACTGGTGTTAAAAATATTGTAACTAATTCGATTATTTACTAATAGATACTGAGGGGAGAAGAGGCGCCATTGTTGTCTCAGTTGAAGGACTGGATGGAGACTCACCCCGGCTGGGAGGTAATGTCAGACTCTGAGGACTCTGGAGACGACAGCCAAGACGATGACGGTAATTATAAATTCTAATACTTTATATTTTCTTTTACAAATAGAGTCTAATTTTGAATACGTAATAATATACTATTCTTCGCGCCCTTAGAAAAGAGGAAAGGACATAGAGATGAGAGGAGTGACAAAGAGAAGACTGAAGAAGAGAAAGCACGGGAAATGATTAAGAAGGCCAAGGTCGAAGACGATGAGTATAAGACAGAAGAACAGACTTACTACAGGTTTGTTATGGTTATATTTTGCTGATTTGATTTGATTGAGTGATACAAGTTTTATGCCAGTGAAATATTACTAAATATTGCAAACAAATGTAAATTGAAACTGAAAGTGATGATTTCGTATTCTTTCAGCATTGCTCACACAGTTCACGAGTCTGTTACTGAACAAGCCAACATCCTCGTCAATGGTAAACTTAAAGAATATCAAATCAAGGTAAATTAATATTAAAATAACAATTTAATAAGTATTATTTTATACATTTAACTAATATTTTATATTGTTTCCAGGGTCTGGAGTGGCTGGTATCTTTATTCAATAATAACCTGAACGGCATTCTAGCAGACGAGATGGGTCTCGGTAAGACCATCCAGACTATAGCGCTGGTCACATATCTAATGGAGAAGAAGAAAGTTAACGGACCTTTCCTCATTATTGTACCTCTGAGGTAATAATGTCAAACTTTGTTTAGAGAGCCTAGTGCGAGTTTTTTTTCACCTTAACGTGATCGACATGTTCATGACGTTCACGTTCTGATTGGTCAGCTCTGAGTCAACCAAACAATCAAAGGTAACGAGGTAACATGTCAATTGCGTTAACGTTGAACAAACTGGCACTCGATACTCTAATATTATTTTATTAGATAGTATTAGAATTTGAAGTATAACTTTTTACTGATTTCAGTACTCTATCCAACTGGGTGTTGGAGTTTGAGAAGTGGGCGCCAACGGTGTCAGTAGTGTCGTACAAGGGATCCCCTCAGTCGCGTCGCCTCGTACAGGCACAGATGAGATCTACCAAATTCAATGTGCTGCTTACAACTTATGAATATGTTATCAAGGACAAGGCTGTACTGGCTAAGGTATCATTCTAAAAATGTATTGAAACATACAATATGTTGAATATTTGTTGAATAGCATTACAATGTTTGTCTTTTTCACAGGTACAGTGGAAATATATGATAATCGACGAGGGTCATCGTATGAAGAACCATCATTGCAAACTGACACAAGTATTGAACACGCACTACATAGCACCGCACCGCCTGCTTCTAACCGGTACCCCGCTACAGAACAAGTTGCCGGAGTTGTGGGCACTACTGAACTTCTTGCTACCCTCCATCTTTAAGAGTTGCTCCACATTCGAACAGTGGTTCAACGCACCTTTTGCTACAACTGGTGAAAAGGTAAGACACATTTTTCAACGAATTAGAAATTTAAAAGTGGATTTCACCAACATTAAATTTATAAAATAAAACTTTCTTGTAACTAGGTGGAACTGAACGAGGAAGAAACTATCCTCATCATTCGTCGTCTACACAAAGTGCTGCGTCCATTCTTATTGCGTAGGCTCAAGAAAGAGGTAGAAAGCCAACTGCCTGACAAGGTGGAATACATTATCAAGTGTGATATGAGTGGACTACAACGTGTCCTATACAAGTAAGTCTATACTAATGGCTTAGTATAGTTGCTAGCATCTAATACATATATAAGCAAATTTATTTTATTATTGATTCTAATATAATGTATTTTTGCGCAGACACATGCAGTCTAAGGGAGTACTGTTGACTGACGGCTCAGAGAAGGGCAACAAAGGTAAAGGTGGTGCTAAAGCGCTGATGAACACCATCGTACAGCTGCGCAAGCTTTGCAACCACCCCTTTATGTTCCAACACATTGAGGAAAAGTTCTGCGACCATATTGGCACGGGCGGTGGTGTGGTCTCAGGGTAAGAACCTTTTCCTAACAGTTTTTAAAATGTAAAAGATATTGATGTTTATTTCTCAATAATGTTTAAATGACTAAAAATGAAAAAGTAAAATAGGTAGTTTTGAACTACGCTACTTTAAATCTCGGAATAATGTTCGTTTCCCGTGGTTATAGCTCATCAAAAGTAATACAAGCCAAACTTGACTTCTAAAAATGGCTATTTATTCACAGACCGGACCTATACCGAGTATCTGGTAAATTCGAACTTCTTGATCGTATATTACCGAAGCTGAAGGCAACTGGGCACAGGGTTCTGGTGTTCTGTCAAATGACCCAGTGTATGACCATCATTGAAGACTATCTGTCCTGGAGAGCTTTCCAATATTTGAGGTGAGAACAACACATCAATTTTAAATAAGTAGATTATAAATTTAACTGTTTTGTTATTACGATATTTTTCTATAAGTTACATACATACTTAACTTCACGTCTGTCTCCCATGGGGGTAGGAAGAGAATATGGAACGCCAACTACTACGATTCCTACGTATCTCTTTCGCTTCATCAAGTACGCGTTCGGCACTCTGATTGGCGGGCGCCAATGAACCAACCAATCAGAGCGCCGAACGCGTACTCGTTACGATTACTTTAAACGTAAAACAAACTCGTACTAAGACCTCAGGTCAGTATCTAGGGCGCCCGTCAAGTGCTATAAGTTCTTAGTAACTAATAGGTGATTGTATCTCTCAGATTGGACGGTATGACAAAAGCTGAAGATCGTGGTGAGCTGCTCAAGAAGTTTAACGACGTCGGCTCAGATTACTTCATTTTCTTGCTGTCGACCCGCGCCGGTGGTCTCGGTCTCAATCTGCAGAGTGCTGACACTGTTATCATATTCGACTCCGACTGGAATCCACATCAGGTATTGTAGAATTCAGTAGTAGTAAATAGCATAACATTTAATCTGCAAATTGTACCTTATTTACTATATTGTATTCTTTGTTGTAACAGGATCTCCAAGCGCAAGATCGTGCCCATCGTATCGGGCAACGTAACGAGGTGAGAGTACTTAGGTTGATGACCGTCAACTCAGTGGAGGAAAGAATTTTGGCAGCAGCTAGGTAATCATATTATTTTAAAAGACTAATTCTACTTTTCTTTCATATTTGATTGGAATTTCAATGAATGTGTCTCGTTTTAGGTACAAATTGAACATGGACGAGAAAGTCATTCAAGCTGGTATGTTCGATCAGAAGTCGACAGGCTCTGAGCGTCAACAGTTCCTTCAGAGCATTTTGCACCAAGATGGGGATGATGAGGAGGTTTGTATTGTAACCTAAAATAAATAATTAAAAATTAATAATATTAACATTGTTTTTCGTAATAATTTTAATTGTCGCTGTATATTTGTAGGAGGAAAATGAACTTCCTGATGATGATCTAATCAATGAGATGATAGCAAGATCAGAAGAAGAGTTAGAAATCTTCAAACAGATAGACATTGAGCGCAAGAAGAATGAAACACAAACCCGACTTATTGAGGAGTCGGAGCTGCCTGATTGGCTGGTTAAAAATGACGACGAAGTTGTTTGCAATAAGGTGGGTTTCACATTATAAAAGTAGAATTTATTAAGTTCTGTTTTTTATATTTATTATTATTTTATAACAAAACTTATGTTCTACCCTAAAAATAATACATTATGTTTAGGGGCAAGGCTGGAATTATCTAGACGAAGACGAGACACTAGGCCGTGGTTCTCGTCAACGCAAAGAAGTAGACTACACAGACTCTCTTACGGAGAAGGAGTGGCTAAAGGCCATTGACGACGAATTTGAAGAAGAGGAAGAAGAAGATGATGACGATGAAGTTCTTGACAAGAAACGGAAGAAGGGTCGTAAACGACGGTAAGAATATTTGTAATGCAACTCTTGTTGCTAACAAATTGTTATATTTAAAAGAAAAAGTATTGAACTAACGGTTTTCTTACAGCCGCCCTGATGAATCTGATGAAGAAGAGGCACCGAGTTCCTCGAAGAAGAAGAGTAAAACTGAAATTAACCAAGTAAAGAAACGATTGAAGATGATTATGAAGAAAGTTATAGATTATACAGCAAAGGATGAGTGAGTATTGTACTTATAATAAATTTTTAAACAGACTTCATAAAACGGAGGACATCCTCAATTCGACTGTACTTTTTATATTTGTTACCTTTCGGTTGAGTGAATTTGTACATGTGATACAATATAATTATTTTGTCTCATATATAGCAGTAGTTAAGGGGTTAATCCAATTGTTGTAGTACTTTAAGAGGTTTGGCACAGTTAATTTCATACATTCGAACTTTCCAGCGGCCGTGTGTTATCTGAGCCATTCATGAAACTTCCGTCACGCCGCGAATTGCCAGATTACTATGATATTATCAAGAAACCTTTGGACATTAAGAAAATCATGAACAGGATCGAAGATGGCAAGGTAAAATTAATACATAAAGTATTATTTTTCTCTGTCGTTTCTGCCTATGTCATAGAACAAAGGCGAGTAATTTTTGTTTTTTGTTACCAGTATAATGATATATCGGATCTCGAACGGGATTTCTTCACATTGTGCGCTAACGCTCAGACATACAATGAAGAGCAGTCCTTGATATACGCGGACTCGGTGCGTCTTCGCAACGCGTTCATTGAAATACGGCGTCGTTATGAGAGCGGACAGAACTCGGACGACTCGGATGATAATGATAAAGGTTGGTAACTATGATTGTTTCTTCTTACTAATAGTAATATAAATGTGAAAGTCTATGAGATTGTGTGTATGTTTGTGAGTCAATCACGTCAAATTGAGTTGAAATTTTGGAACAGGGATAGGTTATGGTCTGGAATTACACAGGCGTCTTATTATCCCACGGGAACGCGGGCGGCTGGAATTCGAAGCTGCGGGCAGAAGTTAGTTACAAATAAGTCTGAAAGGTCAAAGGTGCGGTAATTAGTGGTACTGACTTCTTGCCAGTTGCTGTATCAGTTTACTAGTACTACTATTTATGTATACGGATAAGTATTTCACCGTCGTACGCCACGTTTCTTCATGCATTGTTTCGTGTCATCATTGATGAATGTAGATGAATTCTGTTATATTTTAAATTAAATTGTTTTTTTTTTCTATAGATGATGAAGATTCGGATGGCGAATCTAACCGCTCTGTCAAAATGAAGATCAAGTTGAAGGGTAAAAGCAAAAGCACACCATCCAGGAAGCGGAAACCACGAAAGTATGTCTCTGAGGACGAAGATTATGAGGAGGATTAAACTCAACTCATTGCATTACCCTTCTAGTAACTAACAAACACTTGATCAATCATGATAGGAAAATTTTAATAAGCCAATTTCAATTCATAGATTTACCTTTAGACAAGATTCAACTATATCGCTTCATGTAATGGAATAATTATAATTTGACATTATTATTGACATTTAAAATATTTTTCTTGCAAACAATGATTTCTTCAATACGTTAATGAATTATCTCATCTGTATTTAAAAATATTACATGTTTACTCTAGTTAATAGAAGGGAGCTAGGATATTTCAGGTAGTTGCACTTATGGTAACTTCTTGTTAGTAATTAAGTATATTATTAGTAGTAATAGTAATGAAATATTGTGGTATCCCTAGAACACACTAAGCAGAAGGCACTGGTGCTTGCATGTGACGTTTTTTGGGACTAACTTAAAGTATGCCTACAGTTATGGATAAAAACTGACTTTTATAAAATATTCAAATTACTTTATAAGCTTTATCAACTTTGATTAAACACATTAATATATGATTTTATCTAAATTTATCAGATAAAATACCAGACTTTTATCTTATGGTTTGCCTAAACTGGCTGAATACCTGGTTACATTTTTTCACAAATATTATTTTATGGCAATGATCATTAAATTTTTCTATTAAAATGTTACTTAAAGTAAGACCTAAATTATTTGACATTGACTCTGAATAACAAAAATATTTTTATTCTCTAGACATCAAAACAATGTTTGGAATTTAGGTATTTAGGGTTAGAGTAATAGGATTTATGTATGTGCTTTGGCATTCAAAATAAATTTCTATGTTTAAATTGTGTTTTATTTAATATCAATTTATAATGCATTATTTTGATGAAGTTGGAATATCAGTCTTGTCTACAAGCTTTGCTATTGTTTCTTTCCAGTCTGCCCATTTGTAGTCGACTCCATGTATAGTTTTCATGTGTTTATTTAGACTTGGGCTGTAACTAAACTTCTGGCTGCAAGTAGGACATGAGTAGGGTTTATCACCAGTGTGCACTCTCAAATGCCGCCTGAGGTTGCTCTGTGTATAGAAGCCTACATGGCACATGTCACATTTAAATGTTCTGTTTCCAGTATGCCTGAAACAAAAAAAAAATAAATCCATAGTTTTCATTCAAAGTGTACACTATTATACTTAATTGCTATCAGTATAAATATCATACCTTTTCAAATGCATAATCAGGTTTTTCTTAGTATGTGTTTTATACCCACAAAGATGACATTGTAATTTCTTTTCTAAACTATGTTTTTTTCTGTGATTATGTAACTCTGCAGATGTTACAAATGTGGCTCCACAATCTTCACAGTTGTAATTACAGATTTTAAAATGTCTATGCATATGTGCTCGTAGAGTTTCCTTTGATTTTAATGTTTTCAGGCAAATATTGCAAGTGAAGCTTGCATTTTCATGAACCCGCATATGTTTCTTCATAGTAAAAGCATGTTTAAACTGTTTCCCACACAAACTACATGTAAAGTAAGTTGTGGTACTGTGAGTTTTCCGATGAGCTGCAAGACTTGATGACTGTGTGAAACTCTTACTACATTCATTACAGCTGTAAGGTCTTTCTCCATTATGGGTTCTCATATGACTAACTAAAGTCTGGCTGTGAGGTGTGGAGTAAGAGCATGATGTGCAATGGTATCTCCTAGCAGCACCAAAACCTGACACTTTACCAATATGTTTTCTTTTCTCATGCATTGATACATAATGTTTCAGTAGTGTGATTCTTGTCTTTAAAACTTTATGACATAAATTACATTTAAAGCTACCTGTTTCTTTTTGTAAAACATTTTCTTCACCATTATTAACTTCATTTACCTTTCTACACACCACATTTAAGTCAGTACAGTCATTAATACAGGAGTCTGAATCTGGGCCATCGTCATAATTTGATAAAGAGTTACTATGGCCATTTTCCACTTGGTTTTTGTCTTTTTGTAAGTTTTCTTTCAAATATAACTCAATTCTTTCATTGAGCGTAACACACTTGAGTCTGAAGTTATTAGCGACATTCAGTTCATGTAGACAGTCACCGCAAATTAAGGAGGGTATACTTTCATCAGGAGATAGTGTAACTTGAAAACATTGGTATATTTTGTTCAGAGTTTCTTTGGATTCGTTGTTGTTACAAAACAGATTAATGTAGTGTTTAGCTTTTTGTAAACAAATTATGCACAGCGCTTGCAAATCAACTTTCTGAGGTGTTAGATTCATTGTCAAGAAGGAGATCATGAGATAATTTCGTAAAAGTACTTTTTACAAAAAAATAAACAAATCTATCAACAATCAGTTCCTATGACTGACAGTTTGTCTGTCAATAATTTCTTTGACATTGATAGGAAAGTTTTGTTGCCAGTTGAAATATTTGTACTGTGACTGTGAGGTGAATTTGGGTGAATTGGTGAACCTTTTATTTCTTATTTATGGCATAAGCCGGTAAACGAGCAGACGGATCACCTGATGGTAAGAATTCGGCGTCGCCCATGGACACCTGGAACACCAGAGGCGTTACAAATGCGTTACCGGCTTTTTGGGGATTAGGAGTTTGGGGATCGTTGAGGATTCAGGGATTGGGGAGATTGGGGAAGGGGAGGGTAATTGGGCCTCCGGTCCAGTAACATCACTCACACGACGAAACACAACGCAAGCGTTGCTTCACGTTGGTTTTCTGTGAGGCCGTGGTATCACTCCGTTGAGCCGGCCCATTCGTGCCGTAGCATGGCTCTCCCACACTTTAATACTTGACTATTGAGGGCAAATGTTTTCGTACCTATTTATTTACAAACATAGTTAACCACCAACCAATTACAGATAATGTAAAACCAATTATAGTAACTGAGTATATTATATCTATCGAACTCTGGGTATGTATACCAAAGATTATCATATTAGTGGGGTATCATATACATAATAAGTTAATAACATAATAGGTATTACTGTTTGGGGTATTATCACTGATATGGTTATGGGTATTATACAATTTATTAGGTATAATCAGGAATCTGTCAGTCTTCATAAAGGTGATAATTTACCATCCTTACAAAATTAAAATTACGCATATGCCCAGAGAATAATAAGGAAACTATGCTTTATAAATAGTCAATAGCTCAGTGGGTTTACTTATAACGTGTTGTAATTTCTTACCATGCCATGCCTACGCACTTTATAACAGACTACTATTGTTTTCATTCTTTGCCTAGATTGATTTTATAATTTCATCCCAAGTTCACCCGCTGGCGGGTATAGGCCCTTCCACTATTTCTGCTCTCTAATTTGAGCATACACTTCTCTATCATAAATCGACGGTTTATTTTTAAATCTCCTTATGTGATAAAATTATCATAGTAGAAAGTTTATCAAGAACATAGAAAAAAAGTAACAATTTTACCAACTCCATGAGAGGTGTATGAATGCAAATATTCAGAAACAAGGGGTTTTACTTATTGAAACGAAATAAAAATGCATTTAGTTAAAGGGTATAGGCCTATATTGTTGTTATAGCCTACGCCTCTGCTTGAGCCTGAAGCCTCTTGATGTAGGATGCCTTCTTCTGCTTGATCCTGTTCTTCCTCTCGGCCAGGGTCAGCTTGCGCTTGTTCCAGCGCTTCTGTTTGCCAGCATCCTTCTTGACTTCCTTCTTCTTGTGGGATGGGTCTGCGCGGATGAGTTCATGTGCTTTCTTGTATGTGGCTTCAATCTAATAAAATTTAAGGTAATTAGTTTTGCTATTTGAGGAATGCCGAAAAATATTTTATTTTTTTAACAGTATAGTGAAACAGATGCTGAAATTCAAGGTCAGGTCAGGAAATTTTATGTTGGTTAAAATGTTTTTGAAATTGTTGCAATATTTTAGTACTTAGAATCATACAAAATAATAAGTGTGGATGAAATCATTGCATTACTTTAGTCCAACTTCGACACTGGTCATGCTTTATTACAAGAACAGTAATTTGTTTGGACGTTTGTGTGTTATTTAAAAGAATACTTACAGCATCAGCATTTACACCGAGTTTGATGTATTTGCTGAATTGTCTCTTGAAGGAGTCTTCATCATCAGCCTCAAGACTGCGCATGTACTCAGCCACGTGCAGACCAAAGATGTGTGCTCTGTAAAAAATTGCATTCATAGTAAAACTTACATAGTATTTACATATACATAGGAGTTAGTTTATCTTGGTAACAAAATTAAATTGTTTTTAAGACCGGTTTCCAAAAGTAAAAATAAGCTTTTGATCACAACCAAAAATCCGAATATTATGCTATTGCTCCAATAACGCTGACTAAATAATAGATAAACCATTAATTAGAGGATGAATGGAGCCAAAACAATTTCATTTAAGTACAACATCAATAAATTAACAACTATGGCTTACCTGTGTACTTCAGCATTGAATTTCTTTGCTTCAGCATCATAACCTGGGAACCTCTTGATGGAGTGAGGGACATTGAGACCACCATCAACTGCACCTTTCATGGCTCCAAACACACGAGCACCAGTGGTGGTGCGTGCTAGACCCACATCAAGGTAACACCTATGGATGATAACATTGATTATTAAATTTGTAATTTTCTGTAATATTATTTGTCTGACAACATTAATGAAAGTATCAGAAAATTACGATACAACATTTCTTTATAGCATTGTACGTGCTTTCAGTCCGCCCGTAATAACTTCATCATATTGCATTATGACTCAAATGTTAAACAACATTTGTTTACTCCAAACAGCTGGATTGACATAAATATAACTATCTACTTAGACAGACAAGGACTTACCTGAAGGCGCCTGGACCAAAATCTACGGGTTCTACATTGTATTCATCACCAGTGACCTCAGTGGCACCGCTGTATAGTGAGTCAAGGCCGAGTCTCTGGAGCAGTCTTCTTGCAAGCAGCAAACCAGTACAGTAGGCTGCAGCATAGTTTGTCAAACCAACCTATAAATTAGAAACCTGAGTATAACATCAAGTTGTTATAAAAGAAAACTATTACGAAGTATGTGTAAATCTCAGTATTGAACATATAACAACAGGATTTTGTGAGTTTGTACGTCTCTTCAGACCGCCCGTTCAAAATCATCACTGGAAACAAGAATTATGTGTAAGTTTGCAGTAAGGAATGTTACTAACCTTGACGCCGTAGCGAGGCAGTTCGTGAGAGTATGCGGCGCACACAATGTGGTCACCCTCGATACGGGAGTAAGCCACCTGGCAGGTCACATCCTTGTTGGACAGACGGACGATCAGGCGGTACTTGGGCGTGTTGTATTTGTTCTTATCCTGTAAATAACATTACTAAAATTAGACCTTCGTTACAATGTATAACAATATAACCACACAAAAGTTCAATAAACAACTTACTTGAACAACGAGGCGTTTACGGGCATAGTAGTCGGTTTTTCCCTCACGACGCCTCTTGAACTTAACTTGGTACCTCTTGAAGTATTGCTTGTTCTTCACGACTTTCACGAAACCCTAAAACATAGCTCTAGTTCAATGAACTGCACATTTTCAACAAACACTCATGTTGTGACTATTTAGGTTATCAGAGACACTTTATAATCATTAGTGCTGCAGTCCAAAACAAAACTGATATTGCAGTACACATAAAACATGGTACCACATATCTATTTTGCCTATTCCACAGCATCAGATGACGCGCATGTGTCGGTGTTTCATCATTTAGGTTATGAAAGTTGTGTTCGAAACTAATTTTCAGCAATGAAGTTATCAAAAAGGGAAAGGTTTTACAGTAATTAATCATACTGTGCCAATAAATAATCGTTAACATATTTCTGTCGACTAGCTAAAAGTCCAGTAGTAACAAAAACTTCTTTCTGACATGGCCCACGAAATATCAATCCATATTTTCACAATCACTGCTCGTAATTACAATAACATTTGATTATGTACACAAGATATAACCACACTCCATTATCCTGAGAATATTTTAGCAACATTGCTCACCATTTTTATTTATTCCTAAAACTATTTAGGAATCTGGCGTCCAAGAAAGGACACCACCGGAAAAAGAAACTTTGGTTAGAAATGACACATGACGTTTGTTAAGGTATTGCCAGAAACTTATTTATTATTTAATAACAATAGACAATACAATGTAAAAAAATTATGATGGGCTACAGATTTTTTAATAAAAATAACGTTCCTTTTTTGAAAGACCAAATAGATAATAACTAATTTATTTATTTTAGTATATTTACAGATTTTTTGAACTAAAACAATGAAGAAACTTTTTTTTCGTGGTACCAATATTCTTCTCAGTAATTTTAAAAGTTGTAACCTTTAAATTAAATGTCAAACTAAATTCTTCGTTATGGCTTCCTCTTATTCATATCCTGAATTATTTTTGGCGGGTTTTATATTTACCTTGCCCTTTTTATATGAAAAAAGCAATGTTTTCCGATATTACTTAAAATTTTTCCTCTACTACGCTTATGTGTTAATCACTTGCACAGTGCTTTTGCCTGTAGTATTAATATATCCTCGCGACGTAACAAACCTAATGTAAGATATCGATTTATTTATTATTTCGTGTTGGTTATTAAAGACTGTTCACGAATGATATTTACAGAACTAATTATACCAATTTTCTATAATTTTTCAGAGTTGCTTCCAGATTTTGTCGCTATGCCTCTTATATAGTAGGTATAGAATGGGAGTTGAGGGGGATGGAACATTGGAACTCTGAACAATGCTACATTGTGATATCTAATCATCAAAGCTCATTAGATATATTAGGTATAATTTTACATAATTAATTATTTTTTTTATTTTACCTCTTCATTTTTGGTATAATTTTTCTCATAGTAAAAATTAAATATAAGTTATTATTTTTTCATTTAATATTTTCTCAAATTCTCAGGCATGTTTGAAATGTGGCCACGCATGAAACGCTGCACTGTCGTGGCGAAGAGACCTTTAATGTTTACTGGTGCATTTGGTTTTGGTGCTTGGCTTTCTGGACTAGTATTCATTGATCGGTTAAGAACAGAGAGAGCTCGTCAGCTAATGAAGGATGCTACTGCAAGAGTCATAAAAGAAAAAGTAAGTATCATTAGTACTGAATCAGTAAATACATAACTATTTAATATTTATCCTGATTTTTTTTAAACTTTATTATAATTTTTTAGACAAAGCTATGGATATTCCCGGAAGGGGCAAGATTTAACAAAGGCAGTATACAAGCTTTCAAGAAAGGTGCATTTTATTTAGCTATTGATGCTCAGATACCAATAATGCCAGTTGTTTTTAGTCAATATTACTTTCTTGATAGTGAGACCAAGACATTTGAACCAGGTATGTTGAATTTTTTTTATAAAATGTTATTTTTATATAAATGTTAGAATTATACATACAATAACATATCTATTATTACAGGGAAGGTGGTCATCACTACACTGCCTCCTATACCAACAAGTGGAATGACTCGCAATGATGTTGAAAGATTGTCTGAAATAGCCCGCCAACAAATGATAAATGTTTTCCATGAGACCTCCAAAGATTTAGTCATGCAAAAGAAAATTGCTATTTAAAACTATCCATAAACACCTCCAATTAATTGGTGTAAATCAAATCTAAAAAGTATTTCCTAGAATCTCATCTTAGAAAATTAAGTGCTGTTCATTTTTTTTTGAATATTTTATTATAGTTTGATTGATTGTAGTCATTAGAATGTGAGGTATTTGTAAATTATCCAAACATGTACACATCAAAAATGTTGTATATTACTCATGGAAATGTGAACATGTGGAGATATTTAAAGACAAGTGCCAATCATTCCCTTTATGGCTAGTTAATTAAGTTTGCTCCAAGAAGCCATAATGTAGTTATATAACCATGTTGTTCCTTTTACAAACATCTAGTCGTTTTTTATTTATTTAGTGAGATGTAGTATTAAGAGGATTATTTCCTATTTCTAGTCCTATCTTTTATTTATAAGTTTTATATATTTACCATTTTGTTGACTGAAATTTTATCAAAATGTTTGTTCTTCCTTTGTGCCCTTAGAATGTTAAAGTATTTTATATTGTAAGTAACTTAACTGTTTATGATTATTGCATAGGTAGTCTTTAGTAATTTAACAAGCAAATAAATAATGTTGTTTTCATAAGTCTGCCAGTGATATAAACTCATAATTACGCTCTTTATAGATAAAAATAACTGTCATGTATATAATTTTATTGAAATAAGCAAGTCGCAATAAATTTGGTGCTTATTTTTACTGTCATAGTACACCAGTCATTAGCTATGAGACAAATAATCTAGACACAATTTGCCTAAAACTGAACCCTAGGTGTTATTAAAATAAAACAAGTTTAGAGAATCTTAGATAAATATTTATTTGGCTAAGCCAATGATTCTAAAATTATTGCGTTTGGGCTGTATGCTTGTGTACAAAAGCGTCGATTCTCTTGACCCTAACAACTAATTTGGTATGTACTAATAATACAAAAAATACAGATTTCTAATAAATGTTTCCTACTGAAGTTTATTTGAAAATATGAAATGTAACAGAGAGCAGTGGTAGAAGTCCATTGTTTGAGGAGAATCGACGCCTATGGTAAGGTTGTGAGATTGTCACAACACGAAGCTAATTTGATTTATCGAGAACTAAGTCAATACATGCTATGTTTTGTATGTACTTTAATGAAGCTAGGGATAGACAGAGCTTAATGTAGGTAATTTTGAAATTTAAGAGAGCAATAGTATGAAAATCCACATAATATGAATATTTGTTTCTAGTAACAAATATTTACTGAAGAACTATGCATAGATTCAATTTTATACTTAACAAGTAACTATTTGAATACCGACATTTTAATGCATAGTCTTTTATAACCACTATTCTAGTTGTTCATAGTATTACAATTATCAAAAGGTTTAGTAATTATAAATGTTAGATCTGATTGTTTTCATACATTTTTGCTTTCTTAAATCTTCACAACTATCTGCTTATTACTTAAACTGTACTGTCAATAAATACATTTTGATACACAATGCACATAATTATGCAAAAGTCGTTATAAATTTACCTGCATCACTAGTTTGTCACAAGCAATAACGTTCATAATCTATGTATTATAATCCTGAATGTTTGCTATATGATTGTGATCTAATAGTTCTTGTGCGAGAGAAAAGAACAAATAAATTGCACATACAATAAATAGTGTTTTACTCTTATATTTTGAAATATTTTCACGTATTTACCTCCACTTTTACCTTTATAAGATAATTCATTTTTAACAAGGTACCTACTTACTAAACGGTAACCTCGACAGTATGGTCATTTCTATTTTCTTTAAAGCACATAAGTACTTATTTGGATTATAAAGATAGTGGAGTACCAGCTCTATGTGCTGTAATTTATTTTCAATATGAAAGTACAAAAATCGTTAACCAAGAAATAAGGAATGTAAACCAATATTACTAATGCGTTTCATAATTACTTACAGTATAATGGCGAGAGAAAATGGTGATTACAATGTGACCACAACAATATGGTACAATAATTTGCCTTTAGGTCTGGTCTAATTGTTATTTTAACATATTATAATTTTCTAATTTCATATAAATATTTGACTTACAAATATGTACATATATCTTATTTAACACAGAAGTACTGAAACAATATTTTTCGCTTGTAGATTTGTTATATAACAGATATCCTATAAACAATATGTGATTCTGCAATCTCAATTAATTCTAAACTAATCATTCCAACTCTCGCCCCAGCCTTCATTCTCATCGATATTTTCATCTGGAACAAAGTTTAATTTGCTGCTTACGTTTTCAGAATTTTGAGCAATATTTACAACAGCTGGCTTTTCAATTACTGGTGCCATATCAGCAAAGAAGTCGAACTCATCGGAACCTTTTTTCGAATAATCGAATTTCTGATTTTTTATGTCCAATTCAGAAATATCGACGATATTCTTTTTTGCCTGCATTGCAGCTTTTTGCAGTAATGTTGTTCTTGATTCAGATACATTTTTTGAATTTACATTTGAGTTTGAAGAATTTTTTTCATCCACAGTTTCGATGTTGACTAGTTGTCCATTTTTATTTTCTTCTTCGAAAATGGGAGAGTCTGGTTTTGTTGTCAATTGACGATTATCCCAGTCACTCCAGTCATCTTCACTATCTGCTCTCTGTTTTGTGTGTAATTCTGTTGATATAATTTCATCATGTAAAGATTCCCCACCAACAGGTGAAGGCCTTTCATTTAATGTTAAATTCTTATCAAATGAAATTAATTCATTTCTCTCATCGCTTTCATATATCTCCTCGGAACAAGGTAGATCTCGCAAAGATTTAGTTAGGTAAACACTATTTTCAGTTAGCGGACTGGCTCCAGGTAGTAAAGATTTTGGTTTTGAATTAGGTCTTCCATCTGTGAAAAATTTTGATCTTTTCCCCCCTATGACAGTGTCAGCTCCTAATATTGGTACCAACTCACTTAAACATATTAATGTTGCCGATACTAAACTGTCGTCAGTGTCCTTTATCCCCAAGAGTAACTGCAACAAGAAAGAGTTAAATGTTTAAATTATGTCACATTTGTAAAAAAATCTATATAATTTTAATTATATCTTTGAATCAGCCAGGTTAAATAAAGCTGATACTAATTTCTAAAGCTTTTTTGAAAAGCTTTACATTGAGAGGAGTGGAAGGAGGGTAGGGAGGCCTTGGCCCTGCAATGGGACACGGCTGAAAATAAAATAAATAATAATTTCTAGTTGTAGCATTGTATATAAAATATTTAGGAGTAACATAGTTACCTCAGGAAGGATATGTTGAGACAGTTCTTCATGTGAGAAAACATGCACAAACTTTGAAAAATGTCTCAAAAGTAACATTCGTATTTGACTATCTCTGACTCCAAATAATTGCATTAGTCTGGGTTTAATGTGTTCTTTGAATACACTGAGACTAAAAAAACCTGCCATGTCACCATTAGTAATGCGATCTGGAATTTGTAAAATAAAAACATTAAATTGACCATATTTTTGAGAAGCCCTAAATAAACTTTTTAAAATAGAATTATATGTACATGACAAGTATATTACCATTTTTAGGTTTAAGAATAAAAGGAATGACATCTTTTCTGGCAGTTTGGTCCAACATTGTGAGCCTAGATAGTAAAAGTCCTCCTAGTTGCTTGGCTACAGTTTCTTCATCATAACATTTCAGATTGTCTAAAATATTTGTAAAAAACTGGCACCTTTCTTCTTCTGATTTCAGAGGAAGGAAATTGAGAAATTTATATATAGAAATAAATTCATGATTGAAAAAGTTATGTTGTAACAGTTCTGATAAGTTGGGCCTTTTGGCAGGATTTTGATGTTGTAAGCAATCTCTACAGTATTTCTTAAATTCTTTTAAATGCGGCACTTCATCTGAAAGACAAAACCAGATATCAAATAAATATTTATAACAAATAGTGAGGACATTGAATTAGAATTATACACATACCATCTTTGCAATCTTTAAAAACATCATCCACTAATACTGCAAATGCATATTGGTCCACTTTAGTAGTAATCTCATATGAATCTTCATTGGGATCAATTGCTTTGTCATACCTAGAGGGATAAAATTCATAAAATTTTTGATTGCTTCATGCATTCAAAAGTAAAACTTTATTATCTAGAATTAAATACTTATTTGAGTTACCTTTGTTTGTTTTTTTTATGATATCTAAAAGATTATCAAGAAACTAAAGTTTAAAGTATACATACAAATAAGGTTGTTAATAATAAATAAATTATACCTGTGAATCCTTGCATGTCTCAAATAAGCTGCTGTTAGTTCAGAAAAGGGGCACAGGTACTGCAGTCCTCCCAGCTTCCATTGACCATCTCCAGTAACATATATTGCTGACACACTAACATTGTTGTGAGACATACCAGCCTAGGAAGAGAACATAATATATATCCAATCCTATTAGAATCAAACAGTCTGACACAGCACTAAATTAAATCTGAATATTCTTCAACATAGAAAGCACTTACCTGTTCATGAATAAACACCAAAGCTCTCAAGATATTGTTGAGTCCTATGCATATTTGGAGAGGTGTTAAAGATGGAAGGATATGTGACAATGGCTGCACATACTCTGTAGCTAAGTGCAGAGTAGAACGCTGTTGCCAAGCCGAGATATACCGAACAATGCACGGATGACGGTACTTTAGAAGATTCTAAAAAGAACATTTAAGATTTGTATATACGAATCAAGTCATAGATATAAAATTAACACAACATGATTACATACGTTTGAAAACTTTTCCAGTGGTGTTGATATCGACCACAGAGGACCAACTGCTGCTTCTCCCTTGAAAACTGAAACTGATCCATCGCCTTTCAGGCTGAAATATCTGCAGCTATCATTAATTGTGGCCTGATAGTGGCACCAAAAATCGGTTACCTCTATAGCCTTCTCTTCAATTTCTAGGCCACTTAACTGTGAACTCTCGTTACCCATCATTTAGGATTTTAGTTGTTTAATCACGCATTTATATCATTTCAATTTTCAATTATTATAAGGAAAACTTGTATCAACAAAATGTTCAACGTGACATTCCGAAACTTTGTTGAATACTGTGACATAACTGTGACAGGTGATTATCTGTCAATCTGTCATTAATATGTCAAATAGAGTCCATTCGTGGACAGCTAATCTCTGTCTACGAGTCCATTGTAGACCCTCTTCACAATAGCATTTTGTTCAGTGTAGGCTTTCGTTCAGGTTCAGGGCGTGAAACGGTCTTGGTTAGTCTAGAAATATAATGTTAGGTCTGCTTATTTGTTACATAGTGGTAAAATTCCACTGGCTAATTTGTTTTGGTATACCTGTATTTGAGGCCCATTTCCAGCAGTGGATGAATACGAGCTGATGTTGATGATATCTGTATTTATATATGACTGCTTTGTTGGTCACAAGTGCTTGCGACCGGGCAAGGGTTCTCAGGTTCGATTCCCAGGTCAGGCAAAGAATTAATAGGTTTAAAAAACAATGTCAGCAGTAGCACGGAGTTTGGAATTGTGCCCGGTATATGGCAATAGGCTCACCCCCTATTACATAGGACTTAGGAGTCATAAATAGTGAAAAGTGGGTTTTTTTGTTTTATTTTACGGTACATTGTACGGTAGCATTAAGTGCCGTAATGTGCACTCTGCCTTTAAGCCTAATAAAAAGCGTAATTTTATGATAGGTATTTTTGTTTACTTCAATTTGAGTATTTGTCACAATTGTCATTGTCAAATATTAATGTCAAAGTCAAACGTCTTAATTTTTAGGTGCTGTTATTGGCAAAAATGGCTTCGAATTTATTAAAAAAAGCTATCTTTTCTAACCCTGTATCTGTGAGAAAGACCCTTGGAATATTCTGCAATGCTACACGAAACCGTAAGCTTATGACCATTAACATTAAATCTCTCTGTTTTTATTTCTAGTGTTATGATTGTTACGTCATTTCATTTTAGATTGGAACTATCAATACATGCCTGGTCCATACCCGAAGACTCCAGAGGCGCGTGAGGCTGCGGCCAAGAAATATGGCTTGACCATTGAGGAGTACCAACCTTACCCCGAACATATGGGCTATGGTGATTACCCGAAGTTACCTGACATTGGAGAGGACTCAAGGGACCCACACTACCCTTATGATAATCCTGAGTTAAAGAGAAACTTTAACGAACCTGTAAGCATACTATTTGTTTTTATGGCATAAGTCAGTAAACAAACTGACAGATGATGGTAAGCAATCGGCGTCGCCCATGGACACCTGGAACACCAGAGGTGTTAAGTGCGTTACCGGCTTTTTGGGGATTAGGAGTTTGAGGATCGTTGGGGATTCAGGGATTCGGGAGATTGGGGAAGGGGAGGGTAATTGGGCCTCTGGTAACCTCAATCACACAACACAAGCATTGCTTCACTGCGGTTTTCTGTGAGGCCATAGTATCACTCCGGTCGAGCACATAAATTTTTTACTATATTTTACTATAAAAATAAATAAATCTATATTCTAACACAATTCTAGATAATTATTGGAACAGAATTGGAGGATTGACTATTTGGGTATGTAAACATACAATGTGGCGGAGACCCGCAGACAATAGGGTAGATGACTAATTTTTATTTTAATGTCCGTCTGGTAGATTATTTAAAATCATTACACACATATTTTTTATTTTCTTACAGAAACGAATACTTTCCATGATATATTGATTTGAAATGTCGTGTGACGTCACTTTTATGTACATTTTATACGTAGAAATGACGTTTTAGCCCCCACTCCTAAAGGTTGATTCATTTTATCTAAGTATTGTTTTATTATACGACAAAATAAAAAAATACGTGTCTAATATTTTTTAAATACCTAACTTACGGACTAATTAGATTTTTAATTTTCATACCCTGTCGTCATCCCAATTCTTCAATTCCTAAATAGAGGCAAGGAACTCTTACTTAATAACATTTAGTAAAATGTAATTGTAGAATAATTTATATCTTTCCAGATGCATGCACGAATGGAAATATTTGGTGGTGACCGTTATGACCCTTCAATGAAACGCAGGTTCTCAGTACTCTACCAAGCAATCTGGTTCTTTGGTGTGGTTGGAGGATCTTTTGCATTGTACGCGTTTTTGGAAGATTATAAGGTTGGCAGGCCTGTCACTGCCAAGCAGTACCCAGCTAACGGACCTCACTATTCATTTTCAAGCAACTAAACATCTATCAAATAGTTGTTTGCTATTTAGAATTATAATTTATTAGTCTCAATAAAGCAATTTGAGTTTTAAGTTAATATCTTTTATTATTTCACCTTTTATTATTTGCTGTGTTATTATTTGCTATTGAATCATTGGAGAAGGACCTATCTTATCAGTGTGGTCAATGTGGATTGTTAACATGATTTCCACTATTATTTTTGCTTCATAATACTATCATGAAATCTTTGTCCCTCTAGGCTTGGGCTCTATTCTGTATGCAACATTCACTGACTCTGATCCAGCACTTTTTGAGTAAGAATCCTGTTAAACTAAGACATGTTCAGAAGAAGCCACTGTGTTCATGATGTTCCGTGTTCACTGGAATCACAGGAGTTATTTGTGTTTTAGAAGTAGGTAATAGCCCTGGTTGTAAAGGGAAAATGTACAACATACATGAATTGAGAAAAAACGAATATTAATTTATTTTAACTTAATCATACAAACATAGATTTCACTTATAAATACTAGTAAAATATTCATCTTCCAAATCATAGAGATCGGCTGCAATATCATCTCTGAGTGACATCAGTTTTTGATCACATTCCTGTTGCTTTGTGCGAAATAGTTTGGAGTTTTGTGTTATAGCTTCATTTACTGATGGGAAATCGTTTAGTATTAAGTATTGTTTGATATCTGACACCAACTTCATTAAGGATTCACCAGCTCTTACTGAAAAATAAACAAATAATAAATATCTTTAGTGAAAACATTGTATGTTTTTCACAAAATACATTATTTAAAGAATTGCGTTACATTGGAGAAGAAAAACTTACCAATGTTAGCTGCCCGGACCTGCATTTCAAATGTGTCTTGTTCAATTTGTGTCATTCTATTGAGCTGGGTTTCATTTTCAAGTTTTGCAAGCTTGATGATCTCTAAACAGCAAACATGGCATTATTATTTTATGTCAAACATATTTTATTTTTGCAATTACATCTCAAGATAATACATCATCATCATCATCATGTACATTATCTTTTCAGTATGGCATCAACATCAAGTTATTACAAAAACGGAACACCTCTTGGTGAATAAATAACAAAAACACATATATTCCATTTGAACATAGAAAATAATACCAAAGGAATCGATTTACAGATTGTATTTACCTTCAAAATTTTCTAACATGCTTTTAACATCTTCCTTTAATCTTGTTGTGTAGGATTTAAGCAGGGCTTCTTTATTTTGAGGCAAATTTCTTTGCATTTTGTTTGATATTATGAATAAAAATTCAAAGCGAGTCACTATTAGGGTTGCCACCTTTTACTTTGGTATTTAAAGTACATCGACGATTATAGGTAAGAAAAAAAAGTACACAGTACAAAAATAAAGTACAATTTATTCTTATTTAGTATTATATTTAAAAATATACTTTTTATTGCTTTTTGCAGTTTGTATAAAATTAGTATCTTTACTAAACAATTGTATCTTTACTAGAAATTGTCTAAGTGGCGCTGGCGAGTGGCGAAATCAATTCAACATAAGTCGATAAATATCGATATCGAATTTTGCAAAAATAAAGTATTTTCGTGTACTTTATTATTCTTATAAAGTATAAAGTACAATTACCTTAAATAACGTACAATACTTTATTATAAAGTACGGGTGGCAACCCTAGTCACTATATTGTTTTGTATAATACACGATCAATGAACGAATGAATTTGACAATGATTAGTGACAGTTAATGTCAAATGTCATTACAGCGGAGTGAATTTTTTATTTCCGAAACATTTTATAGTCGATGGATTTTTACTTTTCAATAATGTTTTAGTTTTCAGTTCTAAATTGATGGCTTTTAATCTAAGCGCCTTTTTTAAAATCAGTTACGTTATAATGGTCGGTAGCATACCATGCTATGAACTATGTAATAAGGAGCAAGCTAAATGCCAATCACCAAAACCGGGTTAAAGAGTAAAGTAATAATTCCGCACCAGGTAGAATATCAGATGTCATGCTGCTGCTATATTCACATAGGTACTGAAAAATCTGTACAATAGTACATCATCAATGTGTATTATAGCCTATATTATATAGGGTACATCGTCTAATCCGGGATTTCAACCCGATCCGATGTGCTTTGCAAACAATCTATTCATTTAATTAATGTGGACTCAAATTCAAACAGAATTACGAGGAAGATACCATTTGTAATTAGAGATGGGCACTGGGAAAAAACCCAAAGGGAAAAAACCCAGGTTTTTTCCAATTTGGGAAAAAACCCGGTTTTTATATGGGAAAAAACCCAATAGGCGGGTATTTTCATTTATAATGATCTTATTCTATTTTTATTTTCAGAACTAAATTAATAGGTACTTTGTGATGCGTATATACCTACATTCACTCAAAAAAGTATCGGGAATGGATGATTTGTTTATGGTTCCAAATTCAAATTTTTGTTTTTATGTAGTTGTTAGATTGGCACAACTGTTTTCCATATTGGCGCGGAGTTTGAGTTGCATCTGTTATTTATATTAAATACAGCGCTGGTTTCAGAAATATCATATATAATGTATATTGTGAATTTCATAATGGACACAAATATCGATCAAAGAGTTTGTCTTAAATTTTGCATCGCCAATGGAATTTCGTGTTCGGAGTCACTAAAAATGTTACAGAAAGCTTACGGTGAATCGACTTTATCAAAAACTCGTGCTTATGAGTGGTTCAAAGCGTTCAAAAGCGGTCGAGATGTGATGGAAGATTTGCCTCGCTCTGGTCTGCAACTGTAGTTAACATCGCAAAAGTGAAGGAAATAGTGACTGAAAATCCCCATTCAACTCTGAGAGAGATAGCCGCCGAACTTTCTGTATCTCACGAGTCGATCCGTACCATTTTAACTAATCTATACTATACATTAAAGGGTATGAAACATGTTGCTGCTCGACTAGTTCCAAAAGATCTAAATTTTCTCCAAAATCTCAATCGCATGAAAGTCGCTGAGGATATGCTAGAACGAGTCAGTTTGGACCCAACATTCATGAAACGCATTGTTACTGGTGACGAGACGTGGGTTTATGAGTTTGGCATGCAAACTAGTCAACAAGCTTCGGAGTGGCGCCTTCCAACTGAACCGAAACCGAAAAAACCACGCCAAAGTCGATCAAAAGTCAAAGTCATGTTGACTGTTTTCTTTGACTATCGCGCTGTTGTGCACTCTGAATTCTTACCGGAAGGTCTAACGGTAAATAAAGAATATTATTTGAGCTTTATGCGGCGTTGAAGAGAGCAAATTCTACGAAAAAGGCCAGATTTGTGGAAAGAAAATTCTTGGATTTTGCACCACGAGAAAGCGCCTTCGCACAAGGCTATCATTGGTGGCATCAAGGTGAACGAATTTTTGACCAAACACTCAACAAATACCATCCAGCAACCACCATATTCACCAGATATGGCTCCTGCTGACTTTTTTCTTTTTCCTAAACTCAAATTACCACTTCGTGGCACCCGTTTTCAATCGATAGAAGACGTAAAGGAGAATTCGCGGCGAGAACTAAACTCAATTCTGGAAGCAGCGTTTAAAAAATGTTTTGATGAATAGATTATTCGTTGGCGCAAGTGTATCGTCTCTAAAGGAGCATACTTTAACTCGTTGAGTACCGTCATTACAGACAATTAAAGAACAATAGGTTGCGGTCACCGGTGACAGTTTAAACTGTCAAACACCGACCGCTCGGTGTTTGACAGTTTAAAGGTGATAAAATAAATTTGGATGAATAACAGACATTTTTGTATTATTGATCTTTTCCCGGTACTTTCTTGACAGAGTAGTACTTAGCACCAGCGTGTATAAGGCACTAGCTGTTGTCTGTTATTTGAAACGTTAAAATGTGTAGTCTATTTCAAGGACTAAAACATAACCAGCATATTTATTATAACACCATAAAGACGTCTTCTTGTTTTATAATAAGTTTTTACTGCGCTCTGTGATGGAATGTTAACAGCAGAAAAAATACCTATTAAACTTTAAAGAATGTTTGACTAAAATAATATAATTAAAACAACGAGAGATACTCTTACTAACAATCATTTATTATACTTTACAAAAGTTACAAAACTGTAAATTTACCGGTAAATTTCGTTCGTAAAAAAAGTAGGTATCAAAGTCCGTAAGAGTAGCAGTTGTTGTCAATTCAAAGGATTAGGTAACCAAAAGTCCACCAAACAAAATCCAAGTCGTCAATTAAACCAACAAATTAACACGAGTGCGCACAGTATGAAGCCGAAACAACGTGTGAGATAGATAGATCACCAACGCGCTCGCCCCTCTACTACCTGCTTCCCTGCCCCTCTACCCGCTCACGTATTTTCGGGTTACCTGTCGCTAAGAGCGGAGGATCACACACAAACAGACAGGATTTTTGTTTAATTTCATTTTATTTCATTTGATAGTAGGTCCCTAAGGATATTAAGAACGTTATTACTGCAATATGAACATAAACAAAGTTAGATTAGCTCTAACTTGTAGTAATAGTTCTTAAATAGTACGTACTATATGATGTGTACATAATCTACACATTACTTATTTGTTACATGTGTTAAATATGAAAAAACCCGAATATTTTCCCATTCGGGAATTTTCCCCGGGTTTTTTCCCGGTTTTTTCCCATATTCGGGTTTTTTCCGGGTAAAATCCCATCTCTAAAAATAAAACACAACTTTAAAGTAGGATACATGAAATTAAATGCCTGCAAGTTTTGTTTTTATTATTTTGATTGTTTAGAAAATCTAGCATATTCTTTTAGACGAAGAGCGTTAATATTAATAAATCCAGTGCTATCTTCAGGTGAGAATCCTCCAGCAATATCCATTGATACTAGATCTTTATTGTATAAACTTGCTGAGCTTTTTCTTGCTAATATAGTCACTGCAATCAAACATTGAAAGTAAGCTTAAAAACAATTCGATTCAGAATAAATAAATTACTTAAAATAGTATTAAAAAGGTAAGAAAGTATGGGTTTAGTTACTGTGTGTTTGGAAAACATGTAAATAAGTAACATACCATTTCCCCTATAAATGTGAACGGTGA